CGAGAAGAAAAAAAATAGTATATTATGGCCCGAGGACAGATAAACAGCGAATTTTAATTTCACTTTGTTCGGTTAGAACGCGGTTCTCGGTACTTGAGGCATAAAATATCATTTTATGTCCCTAAGATCGTAAAACTGCGATTCTAACATCGATTTCCTCGGTTAAATCGCGGTTTTCGGGCCCAGAGCCAAAATATTGTATGCCACACGGTGATAAAACTATTTCCTGACTCGAGTGATTAAAATCCTCGATTACGAGGTGAGACTCTCATGATTTATCACTCTTGCGAGGTATAATTTTCGCGAACCTTCACGGTTTACGATAAAAGGTAACGTCGGCTGGTTTTTTACATTTTTTACATTTATTACGTAAATTACGCGTTTTTTACAATGTCATGTAAAAAACTGCGGTCATCGACAGATGCCCAACGCTGCCTCGGTAAGATAGACCCGATAAACATTATTCATTATCAGTTAAAAAAATGAACGGATGAATTTGGTGTTGGGGCAACCTTTGAACACCACAGGATTCTACACATAAATTCATATGTTGAATTTTTCAAAAAGATGCATCCCTCCCGCTGGCTACAGGTGAAATTTTTAATTATTTATAATCAATTGATTTTTATCACCAAAAAGCTAAAAGTGGACTACCTTTGACCATCTTCGAACCACCAAGCGATTGCAATAATCCAAATTTGCATTTCCCCCTACACCCCGCTAGCTATAAGTAGCTGTTGTGTGGTGGTTTTTGAGCCTCGGTATTTTCACAGGGTAAGTCGCCCGTGGAATGCTGAAGCAGTCTGCTCGCTGAAAGCGGGAAGGTTTGAAGAGAAATTCAAACACCTTAATGCTGTTGAAATTATAAAGGATGAACAATGTATTATAGTAACATCAATATGTAATATGTATTATGACATGTAATGTTCAAATATTTTGTAAAACTTGAGGTAATTCAATATGGCTCTACTTTCAACATTTATAGATCTTAAGGGGTTGGGGAACAAAAAATGTAAACACCCGAGAGGGTATACAAAAGACGAATAAACTCAAAACTGGTGGAGGTGACACATGATTCGCTCATGGAGTTTGCGCACCCCTCATTATTGATAAATAAAATGATGGATCAAAAATATAGCGCATTTTCGTGATTTGGAGCCTGAGCAAACTCCATGATATAGTGGAGGTGACACATGATTCTCTCATAGAATTTGCGCACCCCTCAGTGTTGATGAATGAAGTGCCGGATCGAAGATATAGCGTATTTTCATGATTTGGACCCTGAGCAAACTTGATAACATGGTGGAGGTGACACATGATTCGCTCATGGAGTTTGCGCACCCCTCATTATTGATAAATAAAATGATGGATCAAAAAATATAGCGTATTTTCGTGATTTGGAGCCTGAGCAAACTCCATGACATAATGGAAGTGACACATGATTCGCTCATAGAATTTGCGCACCCCTCAGTGTTGATGAATGAAGTGCCGGATCGAAGATATAGCGTATTTTCGTGATTTGGAGCATGAGCAAACTTGATAACATGATGGAGGTGATACATGATTCGCTCATGGAGTTTGCGCATCCCCTCATTATTGATAAATAAAATGATGGATCGAGAAATATAGCGTATTTTCGTGATTTGGAGCCTGAGCAAACTTGATAACATGGTGGAGGTGACACATGATTCACTCATGGAGTTTGCTCACCCCTTATTATTGATAAATAAAATGATGGATCGAAAGATATAGCGGAAGTGGAAGTGACACATGATTCGCTCATGGAGTTTGCACACCCCTCAGTATTGATGAATGGAGTGCCGGATAACAGATATAGCCTATTTTCATGATTTGGAGCCTGATCAAACTTGATAACATGGTGGAGGTGACACATGATTCGCTCATGGCGTTTGCTCACCCCTCATTATTGATAAATGAATTTTTTTGCATAAGGGAACCCAGGATGGTTTTTGTTTCAATTTACAAGTGTTTATTTTGCTGTTTTCAAAAGTGAGCAAACTCGATAACATAATGGAGGTGACGCATTATTCGCTTATGGAGTTTGCACACCTCTCAGTATTGATGAATAAAATGACGGATCAAACGATACAGCATATTTTCATGTTTTGGAGCCTGAGCAAACTCCATGAGCGAATCATGTATCACCTTCATTATGTTATCGAGTTTGCTCTCTTGAAAACAGCAAAATAAACACTTGTAAATTGAAACAAAACCATCCTGACTTCCTTTATGCAAAAGAAAATTATTTGTCAATAATAAGGGGTGAGCAAACTCTATGAGCGAATCATGTGTCACCTCCATCATGTTATCGAGTTTGCTCACTCCTGAAAACAGCAAAATAAAAACTTGTACATTGAAACAAAAACCATCCTGACTTCCCTTATGGAAAAAAAAATTATTTATCAATAATGAGTGGTGAACAAAGTCCACGAGCGAATCATGCATCACCTCCACCATGTTATCAAGTTTGCTCAGGCTCCAAATCACGAAAATACGCTATATCTTCGATCCGGCACTTCATTCATCAACACTGAGGAGTGCGCAAATTCTATGAGCGAATCATGTGTGACCTCCATTATGTCATGGAGTTTGCTCAGGCTCCAAATCACGAAAATACGCTATATCTTCGATCCGGCACTTCATTCATCAACACTGAGGAGTGCGCAAATTCTATGAGCGAATCATGTGTGACCTCCATTATGTCATGGAGTTTGCTCAGGCTCCAAATCACGAAAATACGCTATATCTTCGATCCGGCACTTCATTCATCAACACTGAGGAGTGCGCAAATTCTATGAGCGAATCATGTGTGACCTCCATTATGTCATGGAGTTTGCTCAGGCTCCAAAACACGAAAATGCGCTGTATCTTTTCATCCGTCAGTTTATTCATCAACACTGAGAAGTGCGCAAATTCTATGAGCGAATCATGTGTCACCTCCATTATATCATGGAGTTTGCTCAGGCTCCAAATCACGAAAATGCGCTATATTTTTTGATCCATCATTTTATTTATCAATAATGAGGGGTGCGCAAACTCCATGAGCGAATCATGTGTCACCTCCATTATGTTATCGAGTTTGCTCACTCCTGAAAACAGCAAAATAAAAACTTGTACATTGAAACAAAAACCATCCTGACTTCCCTTATGGAAAAAAAAATTATTTATCAATAATGAGTGGTGAACAAAGTCCACGAGCGAATCATGCATCACCTCCACCATGTTATCAAGTTTGCTCAGGCTCCAAATCACGAAAATACGCTATATCTTTTGATCCATCATTTTATTTATCAATAATGAGAGATGCGCAAACTCCATGAGCGAATCATGTGTCACCTCCACCATGTTATCAAGTTCGCTCAGGCTCCAAATCACGAAAATACGCTATATCTTCGATCCGGCACTTCATTCATCAACACTGAGGAGTGCGCAAATTCTATGAGCGAATCATGTGTGACCTCCATTATGTCATGGAGTTTGCTCAGGCTCCAAAACACGAAAATGCGCTGTATCTTTTCATCCGTCAGTTTATTCATCAACACTGAGAAGTGCGCAAATTCTATGAGCGAATCATGTGTCACCTCCATTATATCATGGAGTTTGCTCAGGCTCCAAATCACGAAAATGCGCTATATTTTTTGATCCATCATTTTATTTATCAATAATGAGGGGTGCGCAAACTCCATGAGCGAATCATGTGTCACCTCCATTATGTTATCGAGTTTGCTCACTCCTGAAAACAGCAAAATAAAAACTTGTACATTGAAACAAAAACCATCCTGACTTTCCTTATGCAAAAAAAAATTATTTATCAATAATGAGGGGTGAGCAAACTCCACGAGCGAAAACTATGTCACCTCCATTATGTTATCGAGTTTGCTCACTCTTGAAAACAGCAAAATAAACACTTGTAAATTGAAACAAAAACCATCCTGACTTCTCTTATGGAAAAAAAATTTATTTATCAATAATGAGGGGTGAGCAAACTCCATGAGCGAATCATGTGTCAGCTCCACCATGTTATCAAGTTTGCTCAGGCTCCAAATCACGAAAATACGCTGCAATATAATNCATCATATTCTTGAGTTTGTTTACTTTCCAGAATTTCCAAAAAAAAAACATGTTCTCAATTGCTTCAACCGATTTCTCCAAATTTTCACATAAATGATTTTTTTTGTTAACGATGAGTGTTGAGCAAACTCTTCCTCCTCATTTTTGAGTTTGCTCACATTTCAATCCCCAGAAAAACACAATCAATTCTCATTTATGGTGGGCTGTGTCAGCTTGATAAAAACTTGACACAGCCATAAAAAACAAAAAAAAAATGAAATGAGATAAATTAAAAGAGTATATTTCGATACGAGTGAGACAGAATTTTCTCGGCTTCGCCTCGGGCCGCCAACTTCACACTCGTGAAAATTCCTGTTTCACATGTGTCGAACAATAGTTTTTGGCAGTGATGTTACGTTCAGCGAGTGGCGAACTGTGCCTTTTTTAGTTTACTAGTAAACGAAAAGACTTTTCGTTTACGAGTAAACGAAAAGGCACTTTTCGACACGAGGTGAACGTAGCAGCAGTGTCAAAAATTATTATAATAAATTCGTGAAAAACTTTCTCTTTTCATTGCAATTAACGAAATTCGATTGTGATGCTTGGGCTGTGTCAACTTTTGATACCTGCAGGCAGCGCAATGACAAGAAGGGTCCAACAATCAAGAATATCAAAAAAAAGAAGCATGAAGGACCAGCGTAAGGGTCAAATAGTAAAGTTCACGAGTGAAAATTCCGTTTCACTCATATCGAAATATACTATTAACACAGCATGGTAACATGGAGATAAATAATAGAAGGATAGAACAATCCTTGTCTGAAAATATACAGTTATTAATAGCGTTTTTAAATTTACGGGCAAAATTTTCTTCAGTTGAACTACGAGATATTTAATAAACAGAACAACAAAAAACAGTACAAACAGCAATATCGAGAAAGCGTAGAAAATTCTTTTATTCAAAAGGTTAGATGCAACTTCAAAGACATTTTTGGATATCTTCAAAATAGCAATGCCGTGGAAAAGTGAAAGAATGCTCTTAATGATAAATCCAATAGACGATGGAATTTTACCAATCTCTTATTGTACGTAAAGTGAACTGAATGACAGCTGTAATAGCATCGACGAATCATTCACAATTATAAGAGTATATGAAAGTTTCAATGGGCAAGTCGAATACCGGGCATTTCGCAAAAGAATGCGAGTTGTATATTACAATTTACATCATCCATTTCTCCTTCTTTCAATAGTGTACCACAGTGTTGTACACCACCTCCGTTATCTGGCTGTCCATCCCAACGATTGCTCCATTTTGTGTATCCATATTTATAAAGCGAATCACCTAGAACCGTTACCCATTCGCCCTCGGCGAATAGATCGTGAATACCAATGAACGCCTGCTCCTCCTGGGATACATTCCTCATGGGTCCGGATCGTTTGAACAGGTCAAGTAATACCTAGAAATCCATTATTTGATTACGGATATTATTAAAAAACACTAAATCAATACAAATTAATCGAGAAGAAATGAAGTAATACTGGGAACAGTTATCCACGTATGAAAAAATTCAATAGAAAACCTTAGCGAATTCGCTAGAAAATTCTATTGGAATTCTATTAAAATTCTAGAGAATTCTCGTTAAAATTCTATTTGTTTTTTTGCGCAGATTCTATTAGATATTTAATAGGGAAAAGTCAATATATTTCGATTTTTCTGTTTGAATTTTCACTTGAGATTTTTTTCTATTAAAATTAAAATTATTGAGCACAGATTTTCCAAGTTTTTTTCGCTATAATTTGTTTTGTTTTGCATTACAGCATCCGAGTGAAAAAAAAACTTGAAAAATTCATGCCCAAGTATTCTTATAGAAAAAATTCCAAGAAAATATTCATATAGAAAAATTGAATTCCATTGACTTTTTCCTATCAAATATCTCATAGAATCAGCGCAAAAAACAAATAGAATTTTAACGAGAATTCCCTAGCATTTCCATTAAATTTTTGAAGTTTTCCTATTAAATTTTTTCGTACGTGCCGGGACTGTTGGAAATATATCTGCGGTCAATTTAAGATGGTTTCAATCAATTATAAAATGGTACATTAGAGTATAAGGGCAAAAAATTTGTTTTCGACTCGACTTATTGCACGGGATAATATAAATACATGAGCTATATGACGACATGCATATTTTTTTCATGCGGTTTATCGCGTATTTTTCTCTTCAATTTTCTCGATTTAGAGATATGACGTAGTTGATAAAATAATGCATCGACCATTATCTATTCTATCATTTTAATAGCAGAATATCATATTTACTTGTTCTTCAGCAACCGAATCAATGACTGCCAAATGCCCTCCCTCCTCAATACATACTTTCCTTGCATTATTAAATGTTGCACCTCTAGTATGTAGTTTATGCGCCCCAATTCCCACTGTATAGTAATAATCATCTCTTTTCTGTACATCGTGGGTGTTGAGATCACATGCGCAGGCCATACCATGAATAACCACGTTACGCAGACCCTCGGGACTCGAAGAGCTCATGCACGTTGGGAAGACTAATTGGGGAACACTATTATGATGGGCATAGTTTTGGCATGGTGGTGATGACGTCGATGGAGTTGGGTCTTGGTAACGTAAATCTTCAACCATCACATTGTCCGTCACATTGTTTACGGGGGCTGTCAAAACTATTGTAATTGACAGAGACAGAATTATGGTTAATATTTGAACAATTTGCTTTTGCTGCATTTCGTACGACAATTTTAAGAAGTTGATCTTGAAAATTTCGGAATTAGTTTCAAAAGTTCCAAACGATATTTTCTAAACGACTGCCCAGTGCAAACTGATAACCTCTCAAGTTCTACATTTTTGACGAGAATAAGGATGAGGCCATAAATATCCTCGTTCGGCATGTGGCGCGCAGTGGGTCGAGATTTTGAATAGAATTCCAGAGTCACGTATACCCCCCACTCTCACTCTACCAACAAAGTAAGCACTGTTCTCAGACTACCTGAGTTTGTGCTATCGCCATTTATTCCTTCGTGAACGACTGTAGAAGAAAAAAAGGAAACCATTCGGAAAAGGACAAGTATTCTAGTTATAGGAAATATGTAATGATCCAGTAGTTGGAAATGGATGCAGTAAAAATATTATTATTGAAGATTTATTCAGTTCAATCTTTTTCAATGTTCATTTTTGAATTTTATTACATAATAATAGTCGCATAAAATTTTTGGTCTCAAATTCTCAATTTTTGTCATGTACTCTATTTATTCTATCGAAAGACAAAGATAGAAATCCAATTTATGGGTAGTCTTTCAATATTCAAAGAAATATATCATTTTAAAACTTTCCGGAGACACTGAAAAATAAATTTTTTTATTTGTTTCCGCCCACAATATTTTGTATTTTTCCATTCCTTGTCGGTGAAATTAGTTCATAGAAATTGAAAATATTGACATATTGAATTGAAAATATTGATATCCTTCTAATAGTTGAAGAAAAAATAGTGATTCAACATTTCTACCGACACCAAAAAATGTTTTTTAATTCCATTTTTTAGCCGATTCTCTCTGTTTGGTGATTTTGTCGTTTTCTTTCATAGTAATTGGAATCCAACCACAGCAATGAGGAGTATCGATATCCTTTTATCATATGAAGAGAAGAATAGATTTTGAAAGGTTTCGAGAATACATGGAGAGATTTTTCTGTTACCCGAATGAGATTTCAAATGACTTTTATTTTGTAATAATACAAAAACCGCGGAACGCCCAAGAAGTAAACACTTAAAAATTTTTGACTAAAAATGTCCGGTACACTTTTCGGAAATTTTTATCACATTCAAGTTCCCCTAAAATTTCAAGGAATTTCATCAATGAAAATTCTGAATTTCGTGGAAAAATGGATGAGAGCTATAAATTTCAGTGTAATAATCCCCTACTACCAAAGAGGACAATTCCAGCAAACATATTCTTGAATGTTCATGTGGAAATTCAATGTGATTTGGCGCTGAATACTCACGTTTTTATTGAAAGTTCAAATAAATTGAGGTTTTCCCGTCTTTATTCAAAATTTGGCAATTTCAGTGAATTTTCCGTGAAATCTCAAATTTTATCATATTTTTCTCCCCTAAATCACATTCAGTATCACTGTCCTGAAAATTACTAGTCAACTCTCCACGAAATTGCATTTGTTTCCAACAGTGTAGAAAACGTTAAGATAACAATATTGTTCTAATAATTCAAATAGTCAAAGTGAGAAAAGAAGTAGAAACGTGGATAGTCAGCCATAATGCTCCGAGTGCTTCAAAATTATCGAAAGTTTTTTGATAGTTTTATTGCATCGCAATGAGCGGGAGAAGTTTTGCAAATGAAAATCCCGAGCGTGCAGCGCGAGGCATTTTGTTGCAAAACTTATCCGGATATATCGCGTGTCTAAAAGCAAAAGGTCATAAACGCCAAAAAGCTACTTTCCGAGTCTCTTAAAGCGAGAAGGTCGTATCTCCACTCATTTTTCTACAATTCTGCGTGACAATACTGGAGAAACTTATTATAATACCTACTTCTTCAGATTGATACTGAGCTGCATATATGAACTTTTACCTTTAACTTCTGTCCTTAAAAATCGAGACTGACCTAAGAGCAAAAGGTCGTAAAGACAAAATTTGGGATTTTTTAATTTCCAGTTCCGTGGACAAGTTATACCTTCAATATTCCAGTTGATATCACTTGAAGTTATCGGTGTCTTTCATTATGGTCACATAATTATGTCGGCAACTTAATAACATTATTTGTGTGAATAGCGTATCTCCATTTTTAATCCAGATTCGGATATTTCGGAACATTGTAAAAACTCCCAAAATGTTTGTATTTTCTAAACATTTGTTGTGCACTAATCACCCCCTATATATCTCTTTCAAGATATGCTTGTGTATTACGTATTCGTAACAGAAGAACGAATCTAAAAAAAAAATCTAAATTAGGGAACTGAAGCGATCTTTATTTTTAAGGGTCGAACAGGGCAGTGATTGGAAGAATCCCGTGTACTCTCGAAGGTTAAATGAGAGAGGCAGGTACAGCACAGAGGAATAAAAGTGGATTAGCTTTAGAAACTAGTTTCCTTGATGGGCTCAAAAAAACTCACGATTTTGGAAATTGTTTTTAAGAACAAAAATTTTCTAAAACCAATTCTGAATTTTTCTTAATTTTAGAAAATTGTCAGATTGAACTAAAAAATTGCTGGCCGAGGTATTTAAAGGGAGTAAGTACACCATACATAGGAAGTGGTTCCCAAATATCGGGAATTTCAGATGTGCGGAGGGGGCATTTTGCAAAGAGGGGGAGGGGGGGGGGGTGAATTTAGAATTCACAACCAAAAAAATTGAGTCTGAGGTTTTCAAAAATATCTCTGAAACTAAGGGAGATAGCGAATTCTTATTGAAAATTTCGGGCGGGGAAGGGGGGGAGGTGTGCATTGAGAATTCACAACCAAAAAAATAGAATCGANCAAAGATATCTCCGAAACTAAGACAGATAGCGAATTTTTACTGAAAAATTGCGGAAGACTGAGGAGGGGAGGAGAGTTGTACATCGAGAATTCAATAAGATCTCCCTCTCCCCCAAATTTTAAGTAAAAATTCGCTATCTCCTTTAGTTTCGGAGATATTTTTGAAAAACTCACCGACTCAATTTTTTTTGGTTGTCAATTCTCAATTCACAACCCCTCATCCCCCTCACTGCAAAATGCCCCCTCCAAAAATGAAAAAAATTCTCTAGATTTTAGAAAATATATTTTCTAAAATTAAGTATACTTAGTAACGGAGCCGGAAAAAAATCGTTGAAAATTTCATGATCAAAATGAGGATTTCATTAATGATCAAAATGGGGATTAATTTTAAACCTTTTTTTTCGAAAACTTGGAAACAATTTCTAGATTTTTGAAAACTGAAAGTTAGAAACCGCGGTTTCTAAAATTTAGAAATTTTTTTCTAAAGCCAATTCACGTTTTTTATCTGTGTATGCTGAATCATGTTTCGAGGAAATTTGGAACTTTTTCAGATTATGATGATTAACATCGTGAATTCATGGGTGCATGATCATTCGACGCATAAAGAAAAAATCAGTACCGGTAGGGGTTGGTAGAATTGGGTGTGACTCATGACGGGTCGAACCGATAACTTCCCGAACATTTGTTTTTTCTTTCATTACTTTTTTTTATTATGTATTTATTCAATCTTTTTCTCACATTTCTCCGGGGATATACCCATAGAAGGAAAGTTTCTTCGCAGATTTGATAAACGCTGGGGTCATGCCACAATGAATGCAGCGCATGCTATACGCAACGCTAGTCATTGTCAGAAATATTCGGAAAACAGTTGGATAATTATTTCATGCGTTGCATGCGTTTAGCGTTACATCCATTGTGACATTACCCTTAGGGTGATTTCACAAAGAACGCATTTGCAATTTAAGTTAACTCAAACTTCAATCAACTTTGAGTTAAACCCACTTTACTTGACCCACTTCAAAATTCTCTCAACTCCGAAGCTGATCCACTTGAAAATTTGCAACTTGAAAGTTGACCCACTTCAAAATTTTCCAACTTCAAAGTTGACCCACTTCAAAATTTTGCAACTTCAAAGTTAACCCACTCTAAAATTTTCCAACTTTCCCTTTTTTTTAATTGCAAAATTCGAAAGTTTTATTTAAAAAACTCAACAACCACTAAGGCGATTTCGCTCAAAATCCAATGAGAATCAAGTTATGTGGAGACGCATCGATTACACAAAATGAATTCAAATCCCATCGTTACCTTAGGTAAAATGGTCGAATTTCTATGAAATTAACGCTTTTTGGGATTTTGTTACAAGTTTTATGCGGATAAATGAAAAACCGCTGTCAATTGTTTTCATAAACGAATCAGTTCTAAGTTACATGAACACGCATCGTTTGAAGGAATAAAAAAATCAATCGCTTCATTCGTTCAGGAGATATCGTTGGACAAAATTTTGGTCACACACGTCGACACACACACACACACACACACACATATAGACATGTCTTCAAAAATGTATCAGGATGATTCCGGAGGTCGAGAAATGCGGAGAAATCATCGAAATTCCATATTCGAATTTCGGGGTCATTACAATAACTTCCTCCCTTCGGGTCGCGACGTTAAAAAATAATTTATGAATATTCCATTATTCGAATAACGAGACAACCGCTGAGATGATTTTTCTTTTAATTCAATAAGATTTACTCTACACAGAGACGCGTCGATTGCATCCAAAAAAATTCAAATCATATCATTACTCTAGGAGAAATAGTGGAAATAGTGAAAAAAAACTCATTTTCGACGTTTTTTCACATTTTTAGCGAATAACTGAAGAACCGCTGAGGCGATGGTCTTCGCAATCTAATCAGTTCTAAGTTACATGGAGATGCGTCGATTGAAAAAAAAATCAAATTGCATCGTTGGTTCAAGAGAAATCGTGTCCCAAAATTTTCGGGTCACTCACACACACACACACAGACATGTGTTCAAAAACATCATAGAAAGATTTCAGGAGTCATGAAACGTCGAGATATTATTAAATTTCCACTTTCGATTTTGGGGTCATTACAATGACTTTCTTCGGGTCGGGAAGTTAATAACTAGTGATCGCGTTTTTTTCCATGAGATTGACGACGTATCTAGGCAATTGGGGTTTTGCATCAAAATTTTTTATTGTTGAATATGAAAATTGAATGAAAAATATTAGATACGTATTTCGAAAAATAATGAAAAATAAACAAATCGTAGGCAATTGAAAACGTCGAACTTATGACGTCACGCCAAAACGCTCATATACGAACAAATTGTGACGTCATAAGTTCAACGTTTCTTCAATTGGCCATAACTTCTTGATTTTTCATTCTCTTCC